TGTATACATACATGTATGTACATGTACATAAAGATAGCAACGCTGAGATTTTAGCGCACTTCACAGCCGATCATACAACCCTAAATTCAGTTGCCATAGCAACCGAACCCATAATACTGCCTAATCACAGGTAACAATAAAAGACGATGCCGGTTTGGTGCAGCACATCCCGTTGAAAGAAGGAGGGGCGGACATTGATGTGACCGAGGCCAACAAGGAAGACTATATCTTGTCGCGCATGAAGCAGGTGCTTGCTACTACACACGGCTCTCGTACGGCCATGGAGAGTCTACGGGCGGCGTTGTTCAAGGAAGTGCCTCGATATCTTCTGCAAGTTTTTAGGTATGACTTTGAGGGGATTGGCATATATCTCTATGTTTATGTATTCATATACTCAATAGTTTATATATATATATATATATATATATGTGTGTATTTATGGTGTAGTTATATGTTTATGTATTTATATATATTCATGTACTTATATATCTATATATTTATATCTTATATATTTGCCTTTTTATATCAAAGCCTTGCAGTCTGCGTTTTGTGAGGTGCAATATCCGCTGTTAGTATATATAAGAAGTGGATTTAGGGTTTTAAACCCCAAACCCTTAATCCCAAGAACCTGAAAGCCCCCAAAAAAACTGATACAAGTTATAGCTCCAACAACAAACTTCCACTCTATTTAGATGTGCCCTCATACTTTACCTCACTCTCCCTCTGACCATAGATACATAATTGATAGAGGCAGTAAACCCGCCCAACCTGATTTTTCTATTGATATATATCATACCTACATTTGTGCTAATTTAGGTTAGGAAATTGACAGGGCCTCCAGCTCGTCCAACCCGATTTTTCTATTAAGATCTATTATACCTACAGTTGTGCCGAATTTAGGTATACAAAATTTGACGAGTACAAATTATAAATCTAACAACGAACATCCACACCAGTTTAATGAAACCTCATACTTTACTTACCTGTCCCTCGTACCCTAAATATGTATTCTTTATAGGTTTCCAGCTCGTTCAACCCGATTTTTTTTTTGAATATTATACCTACACTTGTGCCGATTGCTCTATTATTATCTATCATACCTACACTAGTCCCCATTGTTCTATTAATATCCTTATACCTACAGTTGTGCCGAGTTCCGCCTGTTGTTGAACGGTGTGAGCACGCTCAGTGTATCGGATTGGCGTGCACACACACACGTGCACAATCCCTCCATGACGTCGGCTGCTGTTGTGGAGTGGTTCTGGGCTGTCGTTGAGGAGCTTTCACAAGAAGAGAAGTCCTTGCTGCTTATGTTCGCCACAGGGAGCCCAACTACGCCGGCGGGTGGATTCGGTAAGATATACATATATATATATATATACTTGCTATTTGCAGTGTGCGACTACACCTGTATGTGTTTATGCGTATATGTAGCTATGATGCGGTTGCCTTTGACTTATATAACTACACTTCCTTCTTCTAACGCACACTACCTCCCTTTGCAGTACATTATACGCGCGAATACAGTTCTTTCTAAACACATTATCCCCCCCTCTCTCTCTCTCTCTCTCTCTCTCTCTCTCTACTCGTCGTCCGT